TAAAATATGTTGAGTTTTACAACTAAAGTGAAGATTACATCCAATATTCAGGGAGGTCAAAGCCCTTGGAAGTTGGGTGCAAATAAATAGGGAAATAATATTATCGGGTGTAGAATTGGAGATTTTAGATTGACAGACTAAAATCCTCAATTCGGTCCTATCGTTTGGGTGCTGAAGTGTAGATGTTAGCTCTCAGGTGAGGGGAACGCGGGAGCTCTGAAGTGAGAGCCGATATCCTCCCAGCCTAGCCGTAGATTCAGTAAACAAGCATAGGATTAGTCAATGCTCTTTATGTCTGGACCAAAGGGTAAATAATAGGTATGCTCTTATTTGACACAATATAAATTGAACTAATTCATTTTATCCGTTCACTATAATTTCTTGACAAGGAGAATGATGCTTTCTTATATATTGAATATCACATTAAATCCTACTTAATATCATTAGTTATTTATTAGTTATTAAAATTATCTATTAGTGACAGATAAGCAAATTGAACGTCGTTGTTGTGATTAAAGTATTGTTTTTCTAAAGTCTTAATTTGTAATTCTAAACTACTCCCTGTGAGATCGATATCTAGGACTCCATTAGAGCCCTATATTACTTGAGCGATACATATACTTGCGTTGATAAGTGTGATTTTACAATTATTGAATATTTAATATGTTCATATTTATCTTATATTTTATTGCATATATAAAGTCGCTGTCAGGCTCTCTCATCTTCTCGAAGGCTTTCTAATAGGTAATCATACAAAGACTCAAGGAATTAGAATCAGACTCATGACCCACCATGAAATCACAAGGATCTCAACAAGACTCAACAATAAAAAATAATGGAAAATAAAGAAATTAGTGCCTCCATGCCCTTATTATACAATTATGTAATGATAAATAATGTTGGTTTTTATAAATGAAATTTACTTATTCTTACCGTAGTTGTCACTATCAAGAAACAAAAGAATCAGAGAACTAAATATATACAAGTAAAACCTGTCAGCATAAATCTCAAAGGAATCCAACAAAAGACGTAATATGGCAATGTGAGCCCCCCTTGGGAAAATAACTCATGTGGAGCCTCACACAACAATTGTCAACCCAAGGCGGTCAAATCAGAGAGTCGAAAAATCCACCAAAAATTGGCAATCTCTCCAGAAGGTGAATTAGCAACACTCAGTCGACTTCACAAAAGAGACTGATTAACTCCACCCACATTATTAGTCGATCAGATGATCAATCTAAAATAAATGATCGACAAAATTAGTCACCTCATTCTTGTCTTCTAGATCACCAGGTCGAGGAGTCCAAAAGATCCCTGGGTCCCGCTAAAGTCAGATACCCATAATACCATGTGTAGTCCCTATTAAAGTAGGGGTCTCTACATAATTTCATGAGTCATTGCTCATCTCTCTATAAATAAGAAGCCATTATGAGAAAAAGTACACTATTTTAACCAAAAAAGCGAGAGAAAACTCAATATACTCGTTCCAAATCACTGTTCATTATCACTCTCTTTCTTTCTCTCGTTAAATGCTCTATTCCTTGAGTCCGTCCCACAAGACAAATCTAGATTCAACACTTAAAAAAGAGTAACACTCTAAAAAATTATATGAATTATATTTTTGATATTGTTGTAAATCTTCATTATATAAAATCAACTAATTTAAGTGAAAAAAAAAATGGGAACATTGAATAAGAATAGGAACATACTTAATTTTTTTATATAATGGTCCGATCTCCCCTTAAAAATATGAAAAAAATTAATTTTTTTTAAATAGTAAATATAATTAATCATAGTCATAAAATGTGAAATTATATCTTAAAAGCACCTTGCACTCATAAATTTAATCATGTAAAATCTATTTTAATAAATACAAACTGTTTAAATTAAAATATTATTAGCTTCTAATTTAAATGTGCATAGAAAACGATAAAAAAAATTTAAATTATACGTTTACTTTTATTTTATCATTATCATTACAAATTACAAGGCAATAGCCGCCACTTTTGTTTCAGAAAAATTCAATTATATAAATATAAATATATAATGAAATGTTAGAATTTTTAGAAAAAAACATTTTAATTTGCCAATTTTCTAAAGAAAAAAAACCTTAAATTATGGCATACATAAAGATGCATGCGGTGTCCGATTCTGACCATAGATCACGGTGTTCTATGGTCAAGATGTATTTCGATGGGCCCCATTTTAAATTTTTTTTAGAATCAAAAATTTTGAGTGATGGACAGGATCAGATATCACATACAACTCTGAGTACATTTATGTATGTAATAATTTTTCCTCTACTCGCCGCTCATCCTTCTTATAAATACCCCACCACTCCCACCATCTCCCTCTGCCGCCGCCACATCAGCAGCAAAGCAACAGCCGCAGAAACAAGCCACAATTGCTCGCATCCATAAGCAACCTCGCCATGCACTTAATCCATTAATCAAACTCTACATCACAAAACAGAGCCAATTAATCATCTCATTATACATCCAATGACCTCATCCTCCTCCCTAACAACCACCGCCATCCACCACGCCGTCCTCGTCATTCCACCGCCACCTCCCACCACCCCCCTCCCCTCCGCCTCGGCCACCGTTGGGTCGATTTTCAAGGCGCCAACAACTGGGACGGTCTCCTCGATCCCCTCCATCCTTTCCTCTGCTCCGAAATCCTCCGCTACGGCAGCTTCGTCCAGGCCGCATACACCTCCTGCGATCTCGACCCATTCTCCCCCACCTACGCCACCTGCCGCTTCCCAAAACATTCCCTCCTTCGCCTTTCCGGTCTCCCCTCTTCCGGCTACCGCGTCACCCGCAATCTCTTCGCCACCCCCTCTCTTTCTCGCCAATCCAGCTGCATCGGTTTTACTGCCGTCTGCCACAATGACGCCCACCTCGCCCTCCTTGGCCGCCGAGATGTTGTCATCTCGCTCCGCGGAACCGTAACTTTTCTCGAATGGCTTGACAATCTCCGCGCCACACTGACCCCATCCTGCACCCCGAAACGTGACTCCGCGCAACACGAACCCATGGTCGAGCGAGGGTTCTGGAGCCTCTTCACTTCGCCTGGACTCGACCACCCCTGTCTCCGCGATCAGATCCGCGATGAGGTCCGCTGCATCCTAGACAAATTCGAAAGCGGCCCTGAGATCAGCATTACCATTACCGGCCACAGCCTCGGCGCAGCGCTGGCCGTGCTAGCCGCTGACGATTTGAAGGCAATGCTGGGCCCGACGGGGCCTCTGGTGACGGTGGTATCGTTCGGCGGACCGCGAGTTGGTAATGCCAGCTTCAGGCGAAGGATGGAGGAGCAGGGGAGCAGGGTTCTACGAATCGTGAACACCAATGATATTATAACCAAGGTTCCTGGCTTTGTGGATGGAACGGAGAAGGACGGGATGGGGCCAAATTGGCTGCTTTCAAAGACTGGGTGGGTGTACGCTGACATTGGAAGGGAGCTTCGGGTCTGCGGACGGCGGACGGCCAATGTGGTGGCTTGCCATGATTTGGGACACTATTTGCAGCTGGTGAAGCAGCTTAGCGATGCGTGTCCGACAGTATCCCGGGAGGAGGAGAGGGGGCCGAGCAGATGGCGGGGGCCGGTGTTTGTCGCCGGGGATGCTTTTTGAATATGATTGTACCATTTCATTAATGATACTAGCGAAGATCAGTGATATCATTCACTTGGTTAATTTAGGATTGAATATAATATTCCTATTCTATCATGAACTCAAGACGTCGATAAATGTTAGATTAGCTAACATATTATAAGTTAGATTGTATGATGATCAAACAATGATTAACTCATCTTTAAACTACAAAGGAACTATGGTTGACTAGTTATCAAGCCATAATTGAACATAAATGGATCATGGTTGAAAATGAAACAATGATGATTTGATCTTTTTTTAAAATAATTTTATAGAATGATTTTACAATAATATGTTAATAATTGAAATCTATTTGACCATAGATTGATCGTGGTCATGGATGAATTGAAGCCGTTTCAATGAATATTCAATCATTGTTGGAAATTTTTTTGAATATTGATTATATGATGAAGAAGCATAAATTAATTTATGTCAAAGATAAATATAATATGGTTTAATTTTTATTTGATCATTATTTAAGAATTATTCATATGGCATTTAACATTATTCAAAAAATTCTTCAATTATTATGTGATCATTATTTTATTATTTTTTTTTAAACTTTTTAGAGATAATTCAATCCTTGTTCAATCATTGTTCAAAGTTGGCTAGATCATAATTTAAATATTTTCGTATTATTAATGATGATTCTATCATTGTGTGATCATTATTTAATCGTTATTTGAGGATGTTTTGAGGATGATTCAAATTTTTTTTATCATATATTAATTACTATTAATGATTTAGTTCAAGCATAGAGAAAGCCTTATTCATAGATTATTTGATCATTTTAGAAGTTAGCTTAATATTTATTCCAATATTATTTAAAGAAAATATTCTAAATGCTCAAATATGCTTATTCATTTTCATTTAGTTGTTATTCAATCATAGTTGAATCCTTATTTAAAAATCCTTTGATCATTATTCTTAATAAACATTTATTTTAAGATAGTTTGATATTATTTGAATCAATTTTGAGCAAGGATCGATCTTCATTTTTGTTTTTACTTTATTATTAATCATGACTAGAAGATTATTCAATTATTATTCAAAGAGTTGATCTTTATTTTATTATGATTCAAATATGCTTTGAAGAAGTTTTGTTCATTATTCAACCTTGGCTAAGAAAATAATTTGAAGATGGTTCAGTCATGCTTTGAATACTAATTGAATGTAATTTGATAATATTATTTCCTCATTTTCAATGTTCAAAGTAATTTACTTTAGTTGTATTATTATATAAGTAAATTTTTTATCTAATCATATTAACTAAGAGGCTGTATATAGCTTAGGTCATATAAAGGGCTAGGAATATTGGGAAAAGTATTATATCAGGACTCCTAAAGGAGAGCTATGTTCAGAGTCCACTAATATACGGACACGTGGCTTCAAGGCAACGCGCGCACTTATATCACTCATAATATTATTCGTGTGATCCGGTCCGGTAACACAGAATAATATTTCTCTTGTGTTATTTCGCGTTATTTAGGTATTATTGTGGTGGTATTGATGTGTTATTGTGTTATTATAACACTGAGAATATTCCCAGAACACAATAACACATGAATTTCGCCACAATAACACCTGAATAATGTTGAATAACACGGAGGGAATATTCCCTGCGCTAAAACAATTTTTTAAAAATTTTTCTGTCACCTCCATGTGGCGTCATTTCATTGGACTCGGAACGTAGCATCGGTTAGACATCAGTTAGCCGTCAGTTTTGCCTATGGATAAGTTTGAAATTGTCGCATAACAATCGAAAAGTTGTCGAAAACCTGTAGCATAAGGAAAAAAAATAAATTCTCCCTTTTGTATTTGCATTACCACAAATAATATCACAACATTTAATATGCACTTACAAGCATTTAACTAAAAAATACAGTTGTCAAACAGTAATTTATCAAATCAAACAATGAAATAAATAAAATACATTTACTCTAAAATATGTATATCATTCTTCATAGAAAAAATATTTTTCCAAATGTACATAAACATAAAAAAAAGACCCATCCTAATCAACCTCCTCTATCTCGTTAATCTCATCCTTATCGCCCTCAGCCACTTCCTTCTCCTCCAATGTTATCGCTGCCTTGTCACACTCCTTCATCCACTGTCGTAAAGAATCTAAATCAATCTTCAACTTGGCCTCCATGTTAACGTCCAACTATAACCTCATATAAGAGAAGTGGGCCTCTATCTCGGTAGAGAATGCTGCAACTTGCCTAGAGATCTCCTCATCCTATGCGGTGGAGGTAGAAGCTGCAGATGCATTGGTGGGGGTGACTGTCTAAGACGAACTCCTGCAACCCAAGCTGGTAGACTCGACCCTTCTTCTTCCCTCTAGCAGATAATTGTAGAGTGACAAACCCGAACCTTTATCAATTTCGTCTTTAGTTCGGAACCTGAGGCCTGGTTGGTCCTAATAGAGAGGGCATAGTGGATAATCTGAAATTGAGAGACTAGAATCTACTCAGCACAACTATATAAATCAAGAACTTAATTTTAGATTAGACATTGTTTATTATGCACTTGAGAGAGGGTAATTAGTATGTATGCTCCTATTTGTCACAAAACCTCATTTTTATCTTTAAGCATTTGATTCCTACATTGATTACAATCTCTTTGCAAGGGGAAAAACTTTTTATTATAATCGCACTCCCTTACACATCTGTAGTTTAGAAACTTTGCATTTAATTTTAGCTTTGATTTTGAATTAGCAAACTTTAATTTATAAACTTTTACAAATAGTTCGTTATTATGCTCCTATAAATTTTGTTTACAGTTTAAGTAGAAATATTTCTAAGTTGACATAGAAATTCATTTATTCATGTTAGTTTGATACTGAGGTTTTTAAAGAAAACTTTATATTACTTGAAACGATACGTATACTTGTGTAGTACCCCTAGTGTATAAGTCATTAGTCAATTTTATAAAATATTTATTTTGCACACTAGCCACTGAATATAAATTGGGTAAAGTTTTGACAATCTTTCAGAAATAATTACGTAATTATGGGTCAGATCAAGTTTTTTGTACCGTTGCCGGGGAATAACGAAATTTTTAACTTAGAGTTTTTTATTTGACTGTAGATTTATTTTTAGAGAATTGAATTTTAATTTTCCTCTATCAGTATTTGTTTATTTCTGAAAAAAGGAAAAAACCAAAAAAATTATAAAAATCGAAAATAGAAATTAAAAAAAATTATTTTGAGTGTTTTGTTTTACTTTTAATTTCAAAACTATTAATTTTGCATGTGTAGTTCGTGATCTGATGGTTTAGTTCTTCAAGATTTTGCGTTAGAATGAAACATAAGAAAAATTTGAAAACAAAAAGAACTTAATAATTCTCAAGAAATGACAAACTTTGATAATCAAACAGTTGAAAATAAATATCATCATTTACAAAGACCTTTAAGGGAATATACAATCCCTAGAGCAGATGAAATTCACTTAAGCATACAAACTTCTGTTGTAGTGGCTAACTCTTTTGAACTTAAACATGTTATTATTCAAATGATACAAAACAATCATTTTGGAGGAGCATCATCTGAAGATCCAAACTTACACCATGCAAGTATTCTAGAACTATGTGTTACATTTAAATATGGTGTATCAAACGACGTTTTTTCTTTTTTCTTACAGAATAAATCTAAGATGTGGTTAAACTCATTAGCGCATGCATGCATTAGAACATGGGGAGAATTTTTTTTTTTTTTTTTTTTTTTTTTTTTAATGAAAGGTCATTAGGCTCGTCCTCAAGCTCATTGATTCGAATTCTATAGAACACAAGCTCTTATTAGCTGCAGACGCCGCCCCTACGTTGAACGACGTGGATTGCACAGGGGTCTTTATTTATTTATTGCTTAGCCAATCTTAGCCAGTTTCCGCACCTCCAAATATTCATAGGTAATATTTGCCAATAGAACACAACTTAAACTCGTTACATATTGATATTGTTTATGCTCTCAGCATAACTATAAAGTTATAAGCTACTTAGTTTTAGCCATTTTACAGGATCTCTTATTAAACATTACTATGCTAAAATGTAATACTTCTTTTAGAATTATATCCGAGATAAAACAAATAAATAGAGGGCTAAAGAGTTAGTTCGAGACATCCATTCATTTACATCTTTTAACACACTAGTGAAATCATAATCTCTCTTTAAGCTCTATTTCCCTCTTCCACTTTTCTCTAAGCTTTATCTAAACATATTATCACAGTTTGTCATCATCCATTAAGAAATATGGATCTCTCTCTCTCTCTCTCTCTCTCTCTCTCTCTCTCTCTCT